GGGGGTGGTGGGACAGGGAAAGGAAGTAAGGAGAGGGAAACTGTCTTGCTACATCTGGCTGCGTATAAATGCACGTATCCTACGTGTTCATGTATTTCCATATCTTTCTCTCCCTTTTTCATGTATACCTTATCTCTACCGTCTCTCTTGATTCTAATCAATCACACGTCGGTAATTGAAATCTGTTCCTAATTCTCATTATTATTTCACTCCAGATTCTTCTCCGTCCCTCGTGAATTATATTTTCAGTACGTGTGTAGATTCATTGTATATAACGCTTGTATATCTGTATGTGTTTGCTCAACGTGTCACTTATAGAGTAATGTGAGGATAATATATGTTACAATGTTTCTTTTTTTTTCTTTTTCTTTTTTAATGAATGGCTGTGTTAAGTGACACGATGAAACGTGAAATTGGTGTATCCGATAATAAACTTCCTTGCGTTTTCATTTTATAATACATATGGATATATACATATACATATATATATGATACATACGCGGATTTCGTATATATATAGATATGTATATATTTTATATACTTAAAAACTAATTTGTGATAATAATATTATTTCTATTTAAGTCTAGGGTCTACGCAGACCTTGATAAGGCGGTGAACTACGCAGGCTTTTGTACAGTCGGCTGGAAAACTATGGGAAGTCTTCGAGAAGGAAGAAATTTTCTATTAAGATTTTCTCTCGAGGCGACGCTTGGGAGGGGGGCGGGAGGATCCTTTAATGGATCCACGAGTCAACCCGGGGTCGCGGGCGTCACTTGGAAAACTTTAGTGTTTGTCGCGGACACGACATTCTTATTTCTTTTCGTTCACAAAATTACTATACTCGATGGTCGCACTTGCGTTTGCGCTAACCCGAATTCCTTTTGCCTAATTATTTTCATTCTGTATATGGTTCGTGATGTATTTTATTGTGTCGACGCCTATTGTCGAATTAAAAAAAATTTTTTTTTTCCTTGCTTTCTTCGTGTCTTCTGTCATTCATTCGCTTATTACTTTTGCACCTAATGAACCTCAATTTCTATGCGTGCCGGCGTACCTGGCTTTACGCTGTAAAAAGTTCCTTTCGAATTAATGTTAAAACGCAACAATGACGGATCGACGATGCTATAGTATATCGTGTAATAAGACAAGGAGACGAGAAACTCATACACTGAGTGTGTATGATTAAAAAAAATTGTTTAAAAATTAATAAAAATATGATGACGCAGGAAAATGATTTTTTCATGCGTCAGAGACATTCGTGATTGATTTTCTATTACGAGTTTCTCTCTTTTCTCTCACTCGAATGAATGGTGGCAGAAATATAAGATAATATGTATTCTCTTGATCGAACAAACAATGGATGTTGATGCTCTTTGTATCACGATAGGCCAAATTCATTGTCATTGCCATAACTTGGGGGTTATGCATTGTAAAAGCAGTTCAAATCGAACAAAGGATATACTTTTAATGATCGTATATGGATCGTTTAAAAATTTCTTTTACGATCGAACGGATATGATTTTTGTCAAAATTTTTGTAAAAATAATCGTCGGCAACTCTTCACGAAGACGAATACCGGGTCGCGTTAAAACAAACAGTGCTCGCGACGAAATAAAGTAATTCTTCCTCATTTTCAATTAATTTTCTACTCGAAGGCCTTGACCTGCGCCATGACCTTGCCTTCCCATAAGGGCAGAATATCTGCGTCGTCCGTGATTTCTTCTTGTATGACTTTCATATCCAAATCCTCGCACTCCGTCTTAAAGAAATACCTGAAAAACGATATTTTATAATTAAATAGAAATAACACAATGATTATTTACAGATAAAATTAAGACTGATAAAAAAAAGTTAAGAGCACACTAACCGATAGCTGCCTTTCTTAGGGAGGTATTCCTTGAATTGCTTCAAGGTGACGTTGTGTCCAGGTATTTTGGTCCTGTAGGGAAACTGCTCGTCGCAAAAGCTGAACACAACGGTGGTAAAGTCGCTGGCATCCTGCCTGCTCTTTCTCAGGGTCGACTGATTCGACTGATTCGATTGGACGCAAGATTGGCCCTGGGTAGCCGGTTCGTAGGTCTGCTTGCAACTACTAGGGTATCTTTGTCTGCTACCACCACGTGCCCTGTCCTCTTCTATTAACCTTCTCCTCGCTTCTTCTAGCTGCGTAGCCTGTAAATATAAAAATTAGATATTATAAACAGTTTATCGACCACAAGCGTCTCCTTGTCAACATCTATAAGTTCTAAGTTTTTTGCCACTAGGAAGCCACAAAAGAGCTCTTACCGTGTGAGGTTGCGGTAGAGGCGGCATTCCAGGATCAGCAACAAACGGTTGAGCAGGAACACCCCAGGTCTCCCTATTGGCTCTCTCAAGAGAACCACTACGGGAACCATACTTCTTCCCATGGCGACTATGTTTCAAATCCGTCTTCTTATCAGATTCCTTGAGCCACGACAAGAGTCTACTATCCTTACTAATATTAACGGGCGGTGCGTCGCTGACTACGCTCACGCCACTGTCCGTTAACTCTGTCATAGACTTCTTCGTGGCGGACCTCCTTGTCATATCCAATCTTCTAAATCTCGGTTCGTGTCCTGGATAAAGAGAAACTGGATTAAAGGTACGTTCAGGATCAGGCAGGACCATCCGTAAAAATAAATAAGAGAACTAAACTCACCCTGGAGATAAAGGTCCTGCTTGTGAAGCGAATCCGCATAATCGGACGGCACAGACTTGGACTTGGGTAAATGAGATCCCAAGGAACTCATAGAACCGGCGCCAACGAGGTCGCTGCCTTCAGGGAAGTCATGAATGTTACCACTGTCCGCCGAGAAGGTAGAGAAGACGTCCTTTTCCTTCCTCTGTTTATAGGACCTTGGATAATTGTGCGAGAGTACTCTCCGTCTGTCCGGCGAGTGAGGCCTTGGCGAAGCGAGACCTGGTGATCTCGAAGGTGTCAAGTCCGACCACACCCTGGATACATGCTGATCAAGAATAGCCTGATCACTATCATCCTCCACTAATAACTTCTCCCTGAGAGCATCAGCAAGCGCCTTGGGTCCTCCTCCCATAGTCTGATCAGCCGGACCATCCGCACCAACGACTTCGTTCTCCTGCAGGTGTCTGTCAAGCTTCTCCTGAGTGTCCCTCTCGCGTTTAACACTCTCCAGCTTCTCAATGAGTACTTGTGCGAACACATCCGGCTTCAAGGGTTGGGTGAGATCTCGCGATACACGCTGTGTCCTGGGTATCACTGTATGATGAATCATAGGGTCGCGATTCAGGTTGGCAGACTCCTTCATCGCCCTACATTGTCTCATGTATTGCTTCTTGCTGCTGCGGTGTCTGCCTATCGACATCCCGTCACTGTGGAAACAGAAGATCAAGAGAATTCAAGAAACGGTAGACTTGATCCTTAATCGATCCTAGATCACTTCATAGTGTCCGTCACCAGGAACCATAAGATAACATACATTCTTTCTGGACTCATATAGAAATATTCTCTCTTGTTAAGTACGACGTGAGGAAACCAGAAGGAGCTACCACACCAAGTAGGTGCTTTCGTTACGTAACTGCACGTTTCACAGAGTACACTAGATCTCGTGATAATAAGAGTTGTTGTAACGCCTGTTTATTTGCTCATACCGTGTAATCCTCGCCATAAATCTCACCTTTACAATCGCGAGATCGAGCCCACTGAGACTCTTCTACTTTATGTCATATCTCTGACTACCATCAGTTTTCTAGCTGATACTGGTATCACGGTGCGATGTGATAACGTCGCCGAGATAACCAGTGTAATTTGTCTATGCGAATGTCCAGGTATTTTACATTGGCATGCAGTAAGTCGGCTTTGCTGCTTGTTGCTTGTATACTTACGTTCGATACTCAGGGTAATCTTCGTCAGATTTAAATTGTATAACTATGAGGAACAGTCTTGGATTATTACATGAATGAAATAGTAGAACTGTTTTCATTGAACTTCAATATCTTTTTTTTCTATTGGTTATTTCTAAGCGTTCCTCATAGTATATACCAATAAGGTTCCTCTTCTTCGTTTCTTTTTGCCTTACTGAATTTCTTGATGGACTTACACTGAGGAGTCGGTGAGGGACATGTTATCCGATTCGGTGCGCGCGTCGCTGCTTAAGCTCTGGAGTTCTGAATCCTGTCTCGAGACCGGGTTGTAGGAGGAATATTGCGCGTGCAATCTGGTCGCTGGCGTGTGGTATGGACTAGCTCCAGGTTGCAAGTAAAGGCTACGCAAACGCCACGCAAAACGCCAAACGAAAAAAAAAAAACAAACGGGAAATTAAAAACCAAAAAAAATGCTGTAGGACAGTTCTTTAAGGGTAGTGTATGTATAAAAGGGGTACGTAAGAGTTTATGATATGCTGGTAACTAGGTGGGAAAAATGAAAAGTTGCAAAATAATTGGATATTAAGTGGAATTAAGGCATTACGAGTCGAATGAAACATTGTTTAAATATGCATGAAAATGTGGAAAAAGGTTTCCATCTTTCTTTTTGAGTATATTGGATCATTCGATTCAATACTTAGGGGCCTAAAAAGAGGCGGTAAGCTCTAAACAGCTCAAATGCCAAAGCTGTTTCAATGCATTCTAAGGTAGCAAGCACTCTAAGGACCAAGTGTATATTGAGGACGGGGTGCATTGCGACTTCGATTAAATGACCTTACCCGGCGTACGCTTCTGGTTTAGGCCGAAGATCCATCGCCCTGGTTTGCTGTGTTGCCATGAGAACGTCCCTAGTCAGTCTTAGCTCGCCTCTTAATTCACTAGGTGTCCTGCTAGCCGAATGGGAGCTGTGCACGGAACTAACGAATTCGCTGTCCTCGTGAACAGTTGGCAGCATACTGTGTCCGCAGGATACAGACATCTCCCGACTGGATCCTGAGCTGGGACAACCACCGGAGTCAGGATTCTGGCAGGATTGGACGTACTGAAGGTACATGTCAGATCGTAGGAAGTTCGAATAGGTCGTCTCGTTAATAAGGCGTTCGACCTCGAGCTGGACAGCGTCGAAGACCTTCTCGTCGACTCGACCTTCCTTAACCCTGCGGTTCGCCTCCTTGCGCACATCTTCGGGTATTGCTAGCTGTGACTTGAGGAAGAATCTGATGGAGAATGAGAAGAGGATGTAGAATTCGAACGGATATATTTAGTTTTTAATTTAATAGTCCTTTCTTCACCTTCTGTAGATGAGCTTGACGAGCTGATGTATCCTGTCTGGGTCTTGTTGCTTCTTGAGACCCTCGCAGGCGAACCAGAAATTAAGTGGGTTCGCGTGCGGTCCCCCTTCCTGGTCCAGGTACTTTCTGAAGAGCTCGAGGCCATCGGGATCCTGCAGGAGAAAATGGAGATTCCTGGCCCAGCGCAGGCAGGCTGGTGGCGAGTAACTCTCCATGGTGGTAGTACCGCAGCTACCCTCTGGCTCGAAACCCAAGGGTGCAGAAGCATCGCAGGAGCCTGTCGGGTGGGCGAGCGATGAACGTCTAGGTGTCAGAGCCGGACTCTGCGGACGGAACCTGCTGATGTAACCACCCGTTTCCTCTCCTAGTGAATGCGAAGAAAATTTTGTCAATAAAAAATTCTTTTTGGTGGTAGATAGATTTTTGAACAGCTTCTTACCGGGCACAGGTGGCCTTGGAGAATTCTCATTGAAGCAGCGGGCTTCGCTCTGACGAGTTCCACTCATCCTATCTATCGCGAGTCTCGCGTACTACTTTCCCGTCTATACTCAATTTCAATGATCGGCGCCTCCTAGTGGACATGGCTAGTCCAAGCCTGAAACATACAAGACAGAATTTTGTTTCAATAAAAATCTTGGAAGTAGAATCATTGTTACATGGCGTCATGAACAATGACTCAAAAGTCCTAAAATAAAATTGTAGAAAAATTGCAGTCGAATGTAATGTTAGAATAGCATTTATGTATAATATTAGGGTATCTGGATGATTAAATATTATTGATTTTGATATATGAGCAGGTATAGATGGAATAAAATATGAATATGATTGGTGGGACAAAAGGTTCTCGAGAAACCCTGAATGCTGGATCGATAGAGCTTGGTGGTGAGTCATGTGCCAATTAAGCTTGAAGGGGGATTTGTTGAATCCAGAAGAATCCTAAGGGTGGAGCTGCTCCTAGGAAGTATAGTCCAGGAACAGCTTGCGCATCGAGAAACGCCTCTCCGATGAATCCCTATTGGTCTGCGCACTGGGTCTTTGTATAGTATTGATCGTCAAAAAATTATGACGTAATGCATTGAAACCATATCCCAGACCCAAAAAATTTTTCAAGCTGTTCTCCTGACTAAAATTGAATTCAACAGGGTAGAAAAATATTAATAGAGTTATGAGGGTAGCTAGATTACCCTGACGACTGAAAAAACATCATTATACCTGACAGAGGCACATCATTGTTAGGATGGGCTATAGAAATATGATTTCATAGGGAGAATATTAAATTCTATATTAACCACTGAATCATGCCATTTTCAAATATAGGTAGATTTATTTTTGTGATATTTAATATTTATTAATGCAATTTTATTTGCAAAATATAAGCTCAAATGGACTTGCAGATCATTAAAAGTGCACCTCAATATAGCAGAAACTTAATTCAGAACATTTAATGAAGAAACATTTTTTAAAAAAAACTTAAGAGTACATTTAAAATTGCAACATTCATTAATACATTAAAACTTGAAGTATGTTTAATAAAATATATTATGAGCAACTTTCCATGCAGTTTTAGAAACTTATAGACTACAAATTCCAAAGGAACAATGAACTGGATATGGGATCTCAGGTAGCAGAAGAAAATTATGAAATGAAAAGCTGTCATAACCAATCATTATACTCTGCTGAATTCCTACCTGAGATTTCAGAAAAAAAGAAGTGTACGTACCATTTTAATAGAGAAGTATTGCTGACAGGTCTAAAAGTTTTCAAGATCAATAAAGATCTATTATGATTTTACAGTACAACTAAAGTCTAACACAACCAAATCGATAGGTTCTTTTGTTCAGACAAGGATCAAATATTGCTGTATGATACTGTCGACAGAACGTCTGGAATCAAACTGAGCGAAGACTGCGTCCTGGCCAGGACTGACGCTGGATTGACAAGGGAGCAAGGGAGAAATAGGGGAGGAACATAGGATCCTGGAGAGCTCCAGGGTGCGCAGGGCTAAAACATTATAATGAAAATATAAAGCTACTGACAGCAGTTAGCAAAGATGTAAGAAGGTCTAAACACTTTTATAAACATGTCTACATTGTACACAAGGCATATTCATTTTTCCATACTAAGTAACTCAAATATCCCTTTATCAGAATATTATCAGATAACTATGCACATTGCCTTATACTCTATTTCATCATCTATATTCACCAGTACCTACACACCTTTCTACATTTTTATATTATTAACTTCAAACCACTCAAAAAGAAGAAAAACTATAAACTTCTGTAACACTAAACCATAAATTTTCATAGTTGAATGAAAAGCAATGTATAATTTTTCAAACTACTTTGTCAGCATCTGACAGACAAAATGCACAGTTTCCACAAGAAGATAATAAAGTAATAATTAAATTACAAAAAAAAAGAATGTCCAACAGATACGGTAATCTCTATGGACTAACGTACTTTGCTGAATCATTGAAATATAAGTTTCCCATTGTCAGTCGATTGTCAGTCTACTAAGAAGCTTTACGAAAATCTATGCTTCAACAGGATATTTTATGTTTGGAAAACACTCGCGAATTCTTCCAGTATTCTCGGACAAACGATTCTCTTCTTGCCTGAAAGGATCCATTCATCCTTCGGTACGAAGTTATCTGTTCATTGTCGAAAACTATAAACGATCCAAACGTCTCTTTGAAATAGGAACGACATAAGTATCCAAGTCTCTTTTCCATTCTTTACTATCTTTTTATACTTAAGCGCCGAAAATCCAATTCGCGCTTCACAAAGCGAGGAATGCAATCGTATAACTTCGGTTCCTTACCGAACGTTATCGAATACAACCGAACATTGCCGAACACCCACGAACTTAAGGGAATCACAATGAATCCACCAGTGCGCATCCCTTTCCCAAGCGTACCAACAATCCCACAAAAAAACACCCAAATTGTATTTACAAGACTATCAAAAGAGAATAAAAACCTCAAAACAGAATAAAACAACATTTCGGATTACACGTTACACAAATAAAAGCATACATAACTCAGTCATCATGCTTGTTCCATACTATAAAAAACCTCAATTCAAAAGCGTACGCACGATTGGCTATACTGTCAAAACCCCAAACGAATTTTGCCAGTAGTAACTTTTACGACTGTATCACAGTCATTCGAATCGAGTTTTAATTTCTATAACCGTTTTATTATTGTCTTTGATAACAAAACGCGAACATTAAACAGAAATATCTTACGCGTTACTCAATGATCCATTTCCACGCTACTGGCACAAGAGTTAAATAAAATAAAACGTGATTGGATACATTTCTTCGCGGGAAACACAAACCGCAGTGATACCATCCTTACATACCGAATGGAAAGAATCATTTACCGATGGCAGCATTGCTCGGAGGTTAGTGGTTCCTCGATAGGCGCGCATTCTCACCGAAGATAAACTCCGTGCGCGACACTCGACTTGACTGCGGAGTACAGACGTGATTCCGTAGCCACCTTGGTATTGCAGAATCCTCATTTATCCCAAGGGCAAAGCCTCTATCCACTCCATTACCGATGAAATAGATCTTTTCGACAGATCGTACGTCATCTCTTTGATAACTAACCGTGCCGCTAAACAGCAGACCGACAGAGAGAAAGACAGACAAACACACGAAGAGTGAGAGAGAGAGAAAAAGACAGACTCGTACCGTTATGATTTGATAAAAGGGCCCCAAGCCAAGCATTTCAAAGAGACTTCAGACGCCGGTCTTAACTAGGTTGATTTACGGATTCAACAATATTTTGGGGTTTTGTTAAAGTTAAAAGACCCCTCGCGGACGTGAGCACGCACGCATATGTATCCGTAGGAGGGCGGTAACGCAGCGTGTGCCATGTTCGTGGTAAAAATAGATAAAAGGAAAACTGGTTAGTCCGCAGGGATTACGTCTTGAGACTACGTCAAGTCTCTTCGGTGTTTTGCTCCCGTGTCTCCGCGACATCCTCGTGAAAATGTCTTCTCTTGGTGACATTACTTCTCTCTTTTTTTTTTCTTTCTAGACAAACGTTTTTTTCCTCTCACACTTATGAAAATTAAGCCACACGCGTCCTCTGCCACCCGGGACAAGACGGATAATATAAAACCGAGGAAAAAGACGAGGAAAAGAAAGAAAAGAAAAATATTAATAAGAATCGTAGAGACCAAAGGATATGATTTCTTTTACGGGGACCTGATGTCTCCTAACAAATGGGAGGGGATATATTATTATAATTGGACAAAACGACGAATCGCATTGTAAACACGCCTTGCGGAGTGGCAGAGATTAACCGACGTGACTCGCTCGCCTAACTATATACATATTCTGTCGTCTACTTATTTTTGTTTTCTTTCACTCTTTTTACTGCTCCCTCTCTCTCTCTCTCTCTCTCTCTCTCTCTCTCTCACTCTCTCTCACACACACTCACAGATTCAATGTCCTGGCACCGCGGCGTTCAAAGTGAAAAAATACATTTTAATTTGTACCTTATACGTTTCACACACTTCTCCCTCATTTTATACTTGCTTAATGATGTCCGCTGCTTTAATTATTCGAACGTAGTGTAACTTTAAGACATAATTAAGTAACGAAACAAGTGTCACCATCAGTGCATGATTTCTGTACTGATTTAATCTGTAACTTCAAGGGTAGTGTTTACGATTTGATTTTAGCGGCAAGACGATGAAAGAGAAAAACGTTGACAGCTTTGAAAAAGAAGATTCATTAAAATTTTGTAAATTAATTCCAGATAGAAATTACGAGTTTCATACGCTTTTCGGTTTTTCTTTGTAGAAGATTGATCTTTTACGAATACAAGATTCACGGATTTCATTTGCGTATCAAGGTCAATGGCAAAAACACAAAAACGGTTATTATATATTTTGAAAATTTGAAATCAGCATAACGGAATAGAAAAACAATGATCAAGTTCCAAAACTGTCAGTCGCATTAGTTGCAAGCGGATAACGATAGATGGCAGTGGATGAAGAATTTCTCGTTAGTGAATTTTCGTTCAATGATTCGCACCGGTTATACAGCTCTCGTCCACATGAGTATAATTTGACTCTGTCGGCTTCCACGTGTATTACAGGTTGTGCCTGCGCCAACCTAAGAATGGAATTATCCTCGGCATGTGAGAGCAACAAAGTCAGAGCGTTAATGACGGTCGTAAGTGTAAGAGAGAGGAAACGATTTGGAAGCGGTGCATGCTAGTCGCTCATTACACTATTACAGATTCGTGTCGGCCTACTTCAGACACTGGTTCTCGGCTCTTCATTCTTCTAGATTCTTGGTTCTAGGTCCCGAGAACTTAGCCGCAAGGAATAAAAACGTGGAGAATGCATCCGCATGCGATAAAGAGTTCGAGTGTCGATTGGAGTAATGAAAATTCCGAAAAAAATGAGAAAAAAATCTTCGCAACATCAGCTACGAAAGGAAGACCCGCTTGACTATGATATACAGTGAATTTACATGAAAAAGACGGCGAGTGGCGGTTAGGGAAAAATATTGCAAAAAAAATAAATAATGGCACGTAATACGTATACGAGACTGATGGAGATGCGTCCTTGT